CAGGCAAGCAAGCACACAGAGCAGGCAGGCTCACCCCTCTTTACCCCTAGTTGGACTGGTTGAGCTAAGGTTCACAATCTGTTCACGATTGACTACTCTGAACAAGGTAAAATGTAATCTGCTCATGATTGGCTAGTTTGAGTGGGTAAAATGTATTTACCTAAAGTTACTTTGAGATAAGATAAGTACACAAGTAATCTCAAAATATACCGAGTACCCTCTGCTACTTCTTGTACAATCTGAGGTATGCTGTAATTCCATCTTGAAAAGAAACCAGTTTAAGACAAAACCTTACACTTCCAAAATCCTTCTGTATCACAAAGCAAGTTAAAGAGCCAAGCAACACACTTTGGTTAAACAAAGTTTTTTTTATCAGCAGCCCACGCAGGAAAATCCATGAGACTCTTACCTCCCATTAATCATCAAAAAGCCTGAAGTGGAGCTGTGTCAAGTGGTAAAGTGCTATTCTTGAGCAGAAAGCTCAAAGACAGTGCCCCGGCCCTGAGTTCTATCCAAAGGACAGATGAACGGACAGATAGGATAAAGAAAAAAAGGAAAGGATAAAGGAAAGGAAAAGGAAAAGGAAAAGGAAAAGGAAAAGGAAAAGGAGAGGGGAGGGGAGGGGAGGGGAGGGGAGGGGAGGGGAGGGGAGGGGAGGGGAGGGGAGGGGAGGGGAGAGGAGAGGAGAGGAGAGGAGAGGAGAGGAGAGGAGAGGAGAGGAGAGGAGAGGAGAGGAGAGGAGAGGAGAGGAGAGGAGAGGAGAGGAGAGGAGAAGAGAGAAAAATTGAAAGACAGGTAAGAGGAAGAGAGAAAGGGATGGAGAGAAGGAATATTTGAAATACATTTCTAAGTATATTTGAGAGCAGCATAGAGAAACTTGATACAAGAGGTTGGTTAGTAGGGTTGAGGGAAATAAATACTGTGAATAGTGGGAATTAGCAGGAGGTGGGCTTGTGAGCAGGATGAAAGAGGTTGAAAATTATTTAAATAAATTACTTGCAACTATAAAAATGGAGCAAGGAAACCTGCTGGGGCTGAATTTTTGCAGAGGGGAAGAAAGGAGGAGTGGCAGAGGGGTGAGATTGATTGTAAAACGGTGTAAACGTGTATGTAGATGTAGCAAACTCCCCACATGACTAATATAAGCTAATGAAAATACTAAAAAAAAAAAAAGTATACAATCTTCAACTATTTATTTATTTTGGCCAGTCATGGGGCCTGAACTCTGAGCCTGCCTCAGCTCTTCAATTCAAGGCGAGCGCTCTACCACTTGAGTAACAGAGCCACTTCTAGCTTTGTCTGCTTATGTGGTGCTGAGGAATCGAACCTAGGGCGCCATGTATGCAAGGCAAGCACTCTACCAGAGCCCCCTTCCCAGCCCAGTCCTTAATTTTTTTAAAGAACTAAACAGTTTAAAAAAGAAAGACTCAGAAGGGAAATTAATTTTAATTACCTATTGCATACCAGAACTACTAACCCAGAAACTTGGATATATTAATGGATAGTGCACAAATATCCAGGACATGCCAGGCACCGGTGGCTCAGGAGTCTGAGATCTGAGGATTGCAGTTCAAAGCCAGCCAAGGCAGGAAAGTCCATGAGACTCTTATCTTCAATTAACTACTAGAAAACCGGAAGTGGTGCCGTGGCTCAAGTGGTAGAGTGCTTGCCTTGATCTGAAGAGCTGAGGGACAGCGCCCAGGCCCAGAGTTCAAGCCCCACAACCATCAAAAAAAAAAAAAAAAGACCAGCAGAAAGCTGGGCCAGAAGTGTGGCTCAAATGGTAGAGAACTAGCCCAGCAAGCAAGCTGAGCAACCTAAAGGCCTTGAGTACAAACCTCAGTAGGAATCTCAAAATAATTTTTTTAAATCTACACAAAAAGAGCTGGGCACCGGGCTAGGAAGGTGGCTCAGTGGTAGAGCGCTTGCCTTGCATGCTTGAGGCCCTGGGTTCGATTACTCAGCGCCACATAAGCAAAAAGAAAAAAGCCGGAAGTGGCGCTGTGGCTCAAGTGGTAGAGTGCTAGCTTTGAGGTGAAGAGCTGAGGGACAGCGTCCAGGCCCAGAGTTCAGGCCCACGACTGGACCCCAAAAAGAAAAAAGAGCTGGGCACCGGTGGCTCATGCCTGTCATCCTAGCTACTAAGGAGGCTGAGATCTGAGGGTCACAGTTCAAAGCCAGCCCAGGCAGGAAAGTCCATGAGAATCTTATCTCCAATAAACTATCAGGAAACCAGGAGTCACCCGTGGCTCAAGAAGTAGAGTGCTTAAGGGATAGGAAGGGGAAACAAAGGAGGAGGCAACAAAGGAGGAGGCAACAATGCTTGATAAGAAATGTACTCATTATTCTTCCCACGTAACTCCTCTGTACAGTATTTTAACAATAAAAAAAAATTAAAAAAAAAAAAGAAGTAGAGTGCTTGCCTTAAGTAGAAGAGCTGAGGGACAGCGGCTAGACCCAGAGTTCAAGCCCTATAACCAACCAAAAAAAAAAAAAAAATCTACACAAAGAAAAAGTAGGCATAAATCTTTGTGATTGTCTACTAAGTTAAGTTTCTTACATATTAAACCAAAAGCATTAGAAGTCAAAAAAAAAGATAACTAGAATTCACCAAAATAAAATTATTTTTGATGTCTAAATGAACATTTGTGTTTCAAAGGGCAGCATGAAAAAATATTTATATAGCCTTCTTTCTCTTTTAAAAGTTCTTTGTGCACTGAAATTCCTTGAGATAAGAAATTCTAGTCTCCTGTCTTCTTCGGGCCCAGCTTTCAATAAACCATTTTCCTTCCACAAAAAAAAGAAAAGAAAAGGAAGAAGCCAGGTTCGAGTGGCTCATACCTGTAATCCTAGCTACTCAAGAGACTGAGATCTGAGGATCATGGTTCAAAGCCAGCCCAGGCAGGAAAGTCCATGAGACTCTTATCTCCAATAAAGCACTAGAAAACTGGAAGTGGCACTGTGGCTCAAGTGGTAGAGCACTAGCTTTGAGCTGAAGAGCACAAGGACAAGGCACAGGCTCAGAGTTCAATCCCCATGATTGACAAAAAAAAAAAAAGGAAGGAAGGAAGGGAGGGAGATAGGGAGATACGGAGGGAGGGAGGGAGGGAAAAATCAGACCAGGCTCACACCTGTGATCCTAGCTACTAAGGAGGCTGAGATCTGAGGATAGGGAGAGGAGGGAGGGAGGAAGGGAGGGAGGGAGGGAGGGAGGGAGGGAGGGAGGGAGGGAGGGAGGGAAAAATCAGGCCAGGCTCACACCTGTGATCCTAGCTACTAAGGAGGCTGAGATCTGAGGATAGGGGTTTGAAGGCAGCCAGAGCAGGAAAATTCATGTTTGTTGGTTGGTTTTGAGGATGAATGGATGGGTCATGAACTCAGGACCTGGGCTTGGTCCCTAAGCTCTTGCTCAAGTCTAGCGCTCTACAACTTTGAGTCACAGCCACTTCCAGTTTTCTGGTGGTTAATTGGAGATAAGATAAGCCACTGTATAAAGAGTCTAGGACTCCTAAGGATTCCAGGCTTGGCTCAGAGGTCATAAGTGAGGAAGGAAAAGCACCAGGCAAGACAGTCAGGTATGTACTCCTGGCACCCTATACATACAGTAACTCTACCAAAAGGGTAAAAGGGAATGGTAAAAGCCTATGGAATAAACAGTTGCCAGCCTCAGAGCTGGCAATAGAGAGAGCAAAGTCAACAGTGCATCAGGAACGAGAAGTCAAGGGATCAGTGGGCTAAGTGAGGTCTGAACAGGCACACACAGAGACTCTGCTCTGGGTAAGGGCATAATGTAGCCAATTGCCAATAGCCTGTCTAGTAAAAGAAGACCTGATTCTGAGCTACTCCTGTAGCTGCATGCCTTGAAGGGTTGTAAGAAACACATACTTTCAAAATCTTATGACGAGCTCCTGCAGAGGTGGCCACATTGGATACAGAGTATAGACACTTGGTATATGCTCTGCAGGCATATCTAAAATTATGCTAGGCATTCCCCCTAACCTCTTACAGAACAGCTCTTCAATCTCTCCTCATATTGCATACCTCTGTTAGATACCCCTTTTCAACATCCTTCCCTCTGAGCTTCTAGTTTACTTTCTCCAGAATGACATATGAACGGAGTCACACAGCATGTGGCCTTTGGAACCTGGCTCTTTTCTTACCAAAGCACACTTAAAGTGCATTCATGTCATAGTCACTGGTGGCTCACACCTGCAATCCTAGCTACTCAGGAGGCCAAGATCTGAGGACCATGGTTTGAAGCCAGCCTAGGCAGGAAAGTCCATGAGACTCTTCTCTCCAATTAACCACCAAAAAAACTATAAGAGCTGAAGCTCAAATGGCAGAGCTCTAGCCTTGAGCAAAAAGCTCAGGGTCAGTGCTCACCCTCAGAGTCCAAGATCCATGACTAACCAAAAACACACACAAAAAATCATCCAGGTTGGCTGGGAAGGTGGCTCAGTGGTAGAGTGCTTGCCTTGCATGCATGAGGCCCTAGGTTTGATTCCTCAGCACCACATAAGCAAAAAGAAAAAAGCCAGAAGTGGTGCTGTGGCTCAAGTGGTAGAACGCTAGCCTTGAGCTGAAGAGCTGAGGGGCAGCGACCAGGCCCAGAGTTCAGGCTCCATGACCGGCCAAAATAAATAAATAGTTGAAAAAAAAAAATCATCCAGGTCATTGTATGAACCATTGTATGAACCACTCCACCAGGTGCAGGCATCTCAATTTATCTAGTATGTTATCAGACAAGGCCTGAGTAGCTTCCAGTTTTCAGTGATGTAAGTATAGATTCTATAAACATTCATACACTCACTCAAATTTTTCTTTTTGGAATACTACAAGATGAGGATATGCAGGGTTTTGTTTTTCATACTCAATCTTTTCCCTTTGTAGCAGACATTTTGTGTGTCTGTATGTGTGTATATGCATATCTATCTATTTAAGAATGTGAGCAGTTGCATACAGGAAAGTTACCTTTCTTGTCTAAGTAAACTGACCCTTACCTTCTCTTAGCAGCTCTGTTTTCATGCAACACTCTTGCTTAGTCTCCCCCTTGGCCGGAACTGCCTGCTAGGAAAAAAATTTAAAAAGTCAGCAACTTGGGTGCATCAGGGGCAGACTTGACTAAAATCAGTGACAAAACTCACCACCTAATACATGTCCAGTAATCTACCCAAGAACAGAATGGTCGCCTCCTGGACGAAGGTTTGCCACTCACAGAACTGTTTATCTAACCTGTAGCTCAGGACAGGATTCTTAATAATAAAGATGTATTCACATGTCTCCTGTATCATTAGAAATCTGACATATCTGATATGGCTCACTTCCAAATGTGAGCCAAAGTAGATCTTCTCCTATAAGTTGGTGTTCTCAGTCATTTGTCACAACAAGCAAAAACTGACCAACACAGCTTCTGCCAATAAACAGGAAGTCATATAAAAGAAGGTCTGGAAGGAAGGGGAGAACAAGGGAATGGGTGACGTCCAAAAAGAAATGTAATCTTGGCCAGGCACCGGTGGCTCACCCCTGTCATCCTAGCTACTCAGTAGGCTGAGACATGTGGATTGTGGGTTGGTTCAAAGCCAGCTCAGGCAGGAAAGTCCATGAGACTCTTAGCTCCAATAAACTATTCATAAAAAACTAGAAGTGAAGTGGCACTGTAGCTCAAGTGGTAGAGCGCTTGCTTGCCTTGAGCTGAAGAGCTGAGGGACAGCGCTCAGGCCCAGAGTTCAAGCCCTGCAACCAACAAAAAAAAAGCTAGAAGTGGGACTGTGGCTCAGGTGGTAGGGTTCTAGACTTGACACAAAGGGACAGAGCTCAGGCCCAGACCATTAAAAAAAAAAGGAGAAGAAAAAGAAATGTACTCTTGCTGGCTGGGTACTGGTAGGGCATGCCTATAATCCTAGCTACTCTGGAGGCTGAGAACTGAACACTGGGGTATAAAGCCAGCCCACGTAAGAAAGTCCACAAGACATATCTCCAATTAACTACCAGAAATTCAGAAATGGAGCTGTGGCTCAAAGTGGTAGAGTGCTAGCCTTGAGCAAAAAAAGCTCAGGGAAAGTGCCCAGACCCTGAGTTCAAGCCCACAACCCACAGGCAAAGGGAAGAAGGGAAGGGGAGGGGAGGGAGGAAAGGGGAGGAGAGGGGAGGGGAGAGGTCGGGAGGGGAGGGGAAGAGAGGGGAGGATTTGTTTTTTGTTTTGGCTAATAATGGGGCTTGAACTCTGGGCCTCCACACTGTCTCTGAGCCCCTTTGTGCTCAAGGCTAGCACTCTTCCACTTGAGCCACAGCGCCACTTCCAGCTTTTTCTGTGATTTATTGGATAGAAGTTTTACAGACTTAGCTGGGCACCAATGGTTCATTCCTGTAACCCTAGCTACTCAAGAGGCTGAGATCTGAGGATCATGGTTCAAAGCCAGCCCCAGCAGGAAAGTCCATAAGACTCTATCTCCAACAAACCACCAGAAAACCAGAAGTGGTACAGTAGCTCAAGTGGCAGAGTGCTCGCTTTGAGCTGAAGAGCTGAGGGACAGAGCCCAGGCCCAGAGTTCAAGCCTCAAAACAGACCAAAAATAAAATAAAATAAAAATAAATTACCAACTTTCCTGCCCTAGTTGGCTTCAAACCATAATCCTCAGATCTTAGCCTCCTGTAGCTAGAATTACAGGCTTGAGCCACCACTTCCTGGCTAAGAAATGTACTCTTTACGGGACTTATATAACCGTAACCCCTCTGCATATTGCCTTTACAATAACAATAAAAGGGGCTGGGAAGGTGGCTTAGTGGTAGAGTGCTTGCCTAGCATGCATGAAGCCATGGGTTCAATTTCTTAGTACCACATAAACAGAAAAAGCCCGAAGTGGAGCTGTGACTCTAGTGTTAAGAGTGCTAGCCATGAGCAAAAAGAAGCTAAAGAACAGTGCCCAGGCCCCGAGTTCAAGCCCCAGTATGGCAATAACAACAACACTAATAAAAAGGGGGTGAGATCTGACTTCTATAGGGACCTAGCAACAACAGGTGACCAAGTATTGCATCTCAGTTCTCGAGTACAATTTCCTGTAACAGAAGCCCCCACAAGACATGTCTAATGGCAAGTTGGATAAGAAAAACGCAGGTAGAATTTAGTGTGTCATGCAAAGATAGTGCTCAAAGGATGACAAATACGTTACAAGAATACAGTCCAACACCTTATAATTCCTATTGGTCAAGTCTAGGACACTTTAAGCACCAAAAGAGATGATGCCTATAATAGATTATAACTCTCCAGACCCAATGATGATAGTAAATCTGTATGAACAAAAGATAAATGACTTGATAATAAGCAAATGAAAGCAAAATTCCTATACTAGAATGTCAACAAGTGAGCACAAAAATCCATACAAGTGAAAAGTCACCATACTATGACTACCATCATCCTTGCTCAGATCTAATGCATCAATGGATCCTAAAACTATTAGGTAAAACTTTGATAGGACTGGGAATGTGGCTCAGTGGTAGAGTGCTTGCCTTGCATGCATGAGGCCCTGGGTTCAATTCCTCAGCACCACATAAGCAGAAAAAGTCAGAAGTGGTGCTTTGGCTCAAGTGGTAGAGTGCTAGCCTTGAGCTGAAGAGCTGAGAGACAGCGCTCAAGCCCAGAGTTCAGGCTCCACGACCGACCAAAAAAAAAAAAAAAAGGAATCAATTACATAAAGTTTAGATCTCAAAGGAAGAGACAGAGAAGATGGGACCAAAAAAAAAAGAAATCAATTTCATAAAGGTCAAATCTTGGGCTGGGAAGGTGGCTCAGTGGTAGAGTGCCTTGCATGCATGAGGCCCTGGGTTCGATTCTTCAGTGCCACATAAGTAGAAAAAGCCAGAAGTGGTGCTATGGCTCGAGTGGTAGAGCACTAGCCTTGAGCTGAAGAGGTGAAAGGCAGTTCCCAGGCCCAGACTTCAGGCCCTTTGACCGGCCAAAATAAAAACAAACAAACAAACAAACAAAAAAAGCTCAGATTTAAAGGCAAAGACAGAGAAGATGGCCCAGAATCAAACCCTGGGAAATACTAAGACTCAGAAGAATATAACATAATAAAGGAGACCAAGAAGGCCGGTGAGTTAGGGGAAAGTTAGAAAAGTATGCTATCCCCACAGGTTGCTTAGAAGCGAAACAGGGGGCTGGGAAGGTGGCTCAGTGGTAGAGCACTTGCCTTGCATGCTCGAGGCCCTGGGTTCGATTCCTCAGCACCACATAAGAAAAAAGCCAGAAGTGGCGCTGTGGCTCAAGTAGTAGAGTGCTAGCCTTGAGCTGAAGAGCTGAGGGACAGCGCCCAGGCCCAGAGTTCAGGCCCCATGACTGGACACAAAAAAAGAAGCGAAACAGAACAAGGTCATAGAACTTTTTTGATTCAGCAGCACAGGAAATTGGTGGGGACCTGGCCCTATGATAGGTCAATACCGTCAATACTGCTCTTAGTCATTTATCAAAAAAACTACAAGTCACAGTCGGGCACCAGTAGCTCACGCCTGTAATCCTGGCTACTCAGGAGGCTTCTGGCTCAAAGCTAGCCCGAGCAGGAATGAGACTCTTATCTCCAATAAACCACTAGAAAACTGGCAGTGGCACTAGAGCATGCTCTAGCTGAAGGGTGCAGGGACAGCACCTAGGCCCAGAGTTCAAGCCCCACGACCAACCAAAAAAACAAAAAAAAAAAATTACAAGTCAGGATACAATAAAGTCACTTTATTTATTTTTTTTTTTTGGGGGGGGGGAGGGTGGGGTCAGTCATAGGGCTTTAACTCTGGGCCTGGGCACTGTCTCGTGGACTTTCCTGCCTGGGCTGGCTTTGAACTGCGATCCTCAGATCTCAGCCTCCTGAGTACTAGGCTTACAGATGTGAGCCACCACCCAGCTTAAAACCATTCTTTGGGACAACCTGTTGCTAAACTCTATCATACACCAGCTTTAAAACTCCTTCCAAACTTAGCTGTCCTAGAGAATTGCTCACTCACTGAAGAAGTGATATGTGATCCTGCTGTTCCCTGAAGGCAACCGGGGCCTTTTGAAAAATGCCCAGTCAACAGCTCCAAGAAGCCATGACCATCAGATAGTCCATAACATTTAGTAATAAATCTATAAGCATTAGTTCAAAAGCATACATTTTATTTCTTCTTCTAGTAAAAGCCTAAACTTTGTACAGCATATTAAGACAAACTGAATCCAAGTTGTCAGCAAATAATATAATAGTAATTCTCAGCATTCATTAAATGATCTGTCAGGGTTGAAGATGTGGCTCAGTTGGTAGAGTACTGGTGTCAGGTACTGCGTTAAAGTCCCAGCCTTGGACTAAAAAGAGAGGGGAAGACAGGGGAGCTGTCTCTACACAAGTCTTTATAGGTTACTAGAAATTAGAATGAAGCCAGAGAAGACACTGCCATCTGCCTAGCCTGCCCCACACAGTCCTCCCCAGGAACTATGTAGATCAAACACAACATAGAAGGAAAAGACAAGCAACTTCATTCCAGGGCTCTTCGGCTCATTAATGCCCTCTACCTCACTATAAGCCAGCTGTGTCTTTGTCTTGTTTGTTTTGTTTTGTAGGTTGTGGGGCTTGAACTCTGGGCCTGGGCGCTGTCTCTCAACACAGGTCCACTTCTGGTTTTCTGGTGGTTAATTAGAGATAAATGTTAGGGACTTTCCTTGCCTGGGCTGGCTTTGAACCATGATCCTCAGATCTTAGCCCCTGAGTAGCTAGGATTACAGGCAGGAGCCACCAGTGCCTGGCCCAGCTGTGTCTTGCTGTGTGAAGACACAGCTACGCCAGCAACATGAAAGGAACATCTCAATGTACTCACTATAACTTATCAAGTAATGTACATGACTCTAATGAAGAATTTCTCATCTCAGCAAAAACACTTAAAACAAAAAAATATCCTTACATATAAAAGTGGGCTGGGAAGGTGGCTCAGTGGTAGAGCACTTGCCTTGCATGCCTGAGGCCCTGGGTTCGATTCCTCAGCACCACATAAGCAAAAAGAAAAAAAAGCCGGAAGTGGCACTGTGGCTCAAGTGGTAGAGGGCTAGCCTT